ATGGCGGGGATTCGGTCGCCGCCACCCGTAGCACTTCATGTAACATTGCCGCCGCGGGAAAGGCCCGGTCAGGCATTGCCGCCTCGGTGGCTGGGGGGTTAGCCTCGCCCGCAGCAGTCATAGCTTGTCTAGCCAGGCGCGGGGCCGCGGTGGCGCACCCCCCGGGGACTGCGGCGGCGATCTCAACGGGCAGCGCTTTCAATTGCGCGTTGAAAATATGGACCGAAAAACGCCTGCCCTGGGCGGCACCGCACCCGAGGGCGAAATTTGGCGACAATAAGTTGTGCAGGCCGACCGCCTGATGGTCTTGTGCCAACACGTCGTCCAGTAACAGCCAGTCCGACCCGCGTACGCCGGCTTCAAAAACGCAGCACAGCATGCCATTTACCGAAGCTACGTCAGACGCCCATTTGTCGTCCGCGACAGCCCACCAAGTTGGCAGGTCTTTTGCGGCCCGCGCATTCATAGTGAGAGCGATGACCAACGGAACAGAATCGCCCCACCCCCCCTGCTGGGACGGGCCACAGTAAGCCTCGATGAGAGGTTCATTGCGAGCAATCCATGCCGCGTCTTGGACTGAGGCCATGTCAGTCGTGAACGAGATTGGCCGCAATGACTTGATCTTCCGCACAGTCGCCGGCCCTGACTTGCGGATGGGGGCAAAATGGCGAAGAGACCGGGGACGGGCCGTTACGCACAGCGCGCGACCCAGATTGAGTAGCGCCCACGTCAGGCAGAAGCCCTCTGGACCCGCAAGGCTGCGTTGCACAAGTGAACCGTGCGCTTGCCTGGCTTGAGCAGGGAAAGCGCCGCTTCGACCTCATGGTCGGCGCATGGTCGTTCCGGATACAGGGGCCCGGCCTCCGCCCCCGAGCGGCGGATGGCGGTGACCGCCTGCGCAAGGCTGTCCCTGGCCTCCGGGCACCGGGCACTGCGGGAAATCATTGTGGGCCCTAGAATACAAATCGTCACGGATCGCATCGATCATGCCGCTAGTGGACAAAGCGTGCCCAGCGAGGGAATCCACTAGCTGGATGTCGAACTTCGCAGTTGATCTGAAAAATCCCGATCAGAAGCGCTCGGCGGCGCCAGCGTTGGTTTCGCGGAGGTCCAGGTAGCGGTGGACAGCTTTGCGTCTCTCCTGCCACGCCGCCGCCGATGCGGCTTCCCGGAAGGCCTCATGGGGCGGGCAAGCCGAGGGGTCAAGCGGGGGGCGCCGCGACGTGGCTCTGCTCCTACTGGCGACGCCCGTCGCGCGGGTGGCCGAAGAGGCATGCCCCACCATTGCATAAATGGTATCGCGCGTCCAGGCGGCTACATTGAGGACGGCCGGGCGCTGGAGGCGGGTGGCCCCACCTCCGTGCCAGGGTGGCCGGAGCCACTGACTAGTGCCTACCGTTTCAATAGCAGTGGCGAGCACCTGTAGCGTGCTGGCCACTTCCCGAAGGCCAGTCTCCCACTCCTCGCCCGAAGTCCAGGCGACGCGCCCGAACCCCGCCGAATTCTGCGCGGTTACCTGGCAAGGCACGTCAATCAGCACGAGTCTGTGGTCAGAAAGCCCCACAAATTCATCCACGACGTGCAAGGGCAGCGGGCCGTGGCGGGAGCCCAAAAACAAATCAATACATGCGCCTGAAACGTGCGTGGGCGATGGCGGGTTAAAGGCGCGCAACCCGGCAGAGTCCAACCACTCCTGGATCAGTTTATCCTTGGAGCGTTGGTGGCAATGCAGGCGCCGGCATCCGGCGCCGTGGGAGACAACGTAATCCAGGTGGAGGTTCCCATCACCTCCCACGAGGAGCCGCGCGCGAGGAAACTTAGCGCGCAAAACGCCCGCGTGGGCGACGATGGACCCCCAAGTGTCCAAGTCACCGCCGTGAATGGGATACATGGCGCAAATTTTACAAGTGGGGGCATCGACCTGCCCATCAGACCAGAGCTCCTACCAGTGCTCCCTGGAGGACGAAAAATCAGGGATGGGGCGAATGGCGCGCTCTAGCTCCGGCCTGACAAAAATCCCGACAGTGTCCCATGCGGCGGATTCGGGCCCGAGCCATAGGAATGGGAAGCCTTTTGGCAACAGGGCTCCAGCGGGGAAGCGCGACCCCGGCAAGATGCAAAGGTCTACGCCCCTGTCGCCCAGGGCATGGGCGACGGCCTCCAGCCGCCACTCCAATATTAGATCGCTGCCCAAATGAAGGAAGCCGGAACGACCAGGGTTGAGAACGGCCAAAGTCAGGTGTGTGCGTGCGGAGTCATCCAGCAACGGCGGCACTGCACAGCAGCCTGGCTCTACAGATTGAAAACTCCCCCCTACAAAATGTGACGCCACGGCCGTGGACTTTGCCGCCTTAGTGGTCAACGCTAGCACCACCTCCCGTCGAACGAGCGTGCTGACGGCAGCGCAGAACGCCCATAAGGGATCTGCCACCGCCCCCAGATGCTGGCGAATCCCAAGGGACAGGGTGGGCGCCATGTCTGCTAATGCTATCGCGTCCCTGAGGGCCGCGGCGGCCTCCCTCCGTCTCTTAGTGTGTGACTCCCACCGAAGCACCTTCATGCGCAGCGGCTCCAGGGCGGTCGCCGCCGCTTCCGCGTGCCGACCGGATAAGTCCATTATCGTAACAATGTCTTGAGGTTTCTTAAACATAGAATTCCTAAGCAATTTCTTGAGGTTTCTTGGGGCATTGGATTCGTTGGGCAAGCCATCGGGTCCCTTAGGACATCCATGTGATACCTGGGGAAATTCATAGGGATATTCATGACATCGATGTGAATCTTCCGGAAATCCATAGGATCCCATCTGGGACGCCATTGGAATATGTAAGCAACCTATCGGATCTCTTGGGCAATCCATAAGAGTCCCTAAGATATCCATTGGATCCCAAAGGAAGTCCATCGGCTTCCAAAGGACATCCATCGAATCCTGAGGAAAGCCATCGGATTCCTCAGGACAGCCATCGGAACCCCGTGGAGATATACATTATCCCTTCGGCAATCCACAGGAGCTCTTTGAACCCATGAGATCCCAGAGGAAATCCATCGTATTCCTTGTTGGAAACCCATGGGTTTTTTTCCAGGTGCATGCATAGGATTCCTTAGGAAATCAATCGGGTTCCTGAGACCATCTATAGGATCCCTTCGGCAATACATCGGATCTCTTAGGACATCCAAAGGATTCCTTCGGACATCGATATGTTCCATAAGAATCAAACCAAACATCGGAATTCCTATTTCATCTGCATGATTCCTGAGGACATGCTCCGGGTGTTTGGGCAACCATTATAATCCTTGAGGGCATCAATAGGAGTTCTTCGGAACGCCCTAGGAATCCTTAGGACATCTATCGGATTGTTAATGCAGCTACAGGTGTTCCTTTTTGGAAATCAATTGACTTCCTATCTTGAGGAATACATTGGAATCCTTCACCAGCCCATGGGATTCCATCGGTAATCCGTAGGGATCCTTGCGTAAGCCATAGAGGGTCGTTAGGACCTCCATCGGATTCCCGAGGAACCCAGTGGGATTCCATAAGCTTCCAACCGGAACCCCAATGACTTCCACCGGATTCCTTAGGACATCCACAGGTCTGCCTGGGGAATCCATTACATGTCGTAGGACATCCGCAGGCTTCCATAGGAAATCCATAGGCTTCCTTATGAAACCAATCGGATTGCGTAGGAAATCCATCGGAGGCCCAAAAGACGCCCTACAGGGCCCCAAAGGCGCCCAAGAGCGCGAGACCCCCAAGAGCGTTCCAGGAGGCACCCAGACAGCTCACAAGAACCCCAAAACGGCCCAAGACGGGCCAAGAGGACCCCAAGAGACTTCCAGGAACGCCCCAGGAGGGCCCCAAACGGCCCAAGAAAGCCCAAAGACGGCCCAAGATGGCGTGGCGCCGAGACGGCCCAAGAAAGCTCCCAGAGAACCCCACAATGCGCCCAAACAAACCAAGAAGACCCCAGAAGCCCACAAGAGGACCCGAGGGGCATTCAAGAAACCCCCAACAGGCTCCAAGACAACCCCGCGCGGCGTAAGGAGCCTCCCGGGTAGCCCGATAGGGTCACCAGGACCCTTTTCTGTTTTAATATTTTCATCGAATTGCCTCGTACTGCCCGTCGTCGTCGTCATCGTCCTCCGCATTTCTCCTCGCCCTCGTTCTCTTCGACCTCGTCCTGGTGTTTCTCTTCCTCCTCGTTGTCCTCATGCTCCTTCTCGCTATCCTCACGTTCTCAAAGTCGTCCTCGTCATCGCCTCCTCGTAGCCCTCGCCTTCCCGTTCTTCTTATTATTCTTATTATTATTCTTTTTCTTCTTACGATTATCATTATTATTCTTCGCCTCATGCGCCCATTGGACTACAGCGGCGTTTCCCGTTCTTGTCTGATCAGACTCAAGATGGAACGTGGTGTTTTGCCCCAGGGTCGCCTTCATGGACTGCCGCTCGCCGAGATCTTTCCGCGGGCACTCACATCGTCTGGCTCGAACCTCCGCCCGAGGCGTGAGGAAACTGTGTGTTCCACAAGCTGACCCAGTTGCCGTTCGCTTGCAGCTTGCGCTGTCGTTCCCCACCCGACGGGGTTCTCAGGTGTAGAGAAAAGAGTTCCCGACCCGCCACGCACACCTTGCATACAGTCGGGGCGCTGAAGAAGGAACCCTTTTCGTTGGGCAGGGGCTCGGTGTTCCTTGATTGTTTCAAAGTTTGCCTCGGGCTTTCCCGAGGTTTTCCATGGGAAATCGAGGTTGAAATTTATGGGGAAAAGGGGCCTTGTTCCTTATGTAGGGTTCCTTAGGTCAACGCCTCGACTGTACCGCGGCCGCTACAGGCGCGGCCGAGAAAATGCTGGCCAGAGCTCCTGGCGACCGGAGCGGCTCACGCCTGGAGCGGCGAGGCGGTGAGCCTCCCCGCGCCTGGCGCACGCGCACGGTGGGCCACGCGCCCGCTCATGGCCCTGCGCAGCAGAGAAGAGAGGAGGCCCAGGCGGCGTCCGTTCTTAGCCACTTTTGGCCCAAGCCCCCGCGCGCCGCGCCGGGCGCCACGCGAAGCGCCTGCCCCCCGGGGGGGGCCGCTGCCACCTCCCGAGCGGCGCGCGCTCGGGGGGGGGGGCGGTCCGTGGCGGCGGCGATGGGGGCCGTGTGCTCGCGGTGCCGGCCGAGGTGGGGCGAGGGCGACGACGCGCCTGCGGCGGGCGCCCCCGCCGTGAGGATCGGGAAGAAGGGCCGGCAGGTCGTGCGGAGAGGGCTGCACAGTCAACAAAAACCCGAATGAGGACGCGCGACTTTGCTCCGGGAACCCTGGCGTCCTTGCTCGTCCTTGCTCTTGCGTCCTTGAGGTTTTCGTCGTCCGCCGCCCCAGAAATCCCAACTTCGGCCTCCAAGGGTCTTGCGTCCTTGCCGCGCGTCCTTATGAGGGTTTTTGACTGTACACGCACGCCGGTCCAATCGAGCCCCGTCCTGCAAGCGAGCAAAAAGCAACCCGACCCCGATCATTGGCGTCTGCTCGGCCCTGGGCGTCTACAGAGAAGCCCCCCTGCCCTGTGCGATTCCTTCCTCGGGTGCGCCTGCTAAACGACTTCGCTTGTCTGGGTGCTGATGACTGGCCACGCGCAGAAGGGGGTAGTGGGAGAGGGGAAGGCTTCTTAGAACACCCCTGTTTCTTAGAAGGCGCGGGCCTTCTTTGTAGATGTGAGGCCGGCGCCTTCTAAGAAGCAGCCTCCTTCTAAGAAGCCTTCCCCCCTCCCCCTACCCCCTTGTGCGCGCCGCCAAGATGATGAGGATGGATGTTCTGCTCTCGACCGCAGGGCCGCAAAAGAGGGAGGTCCTTCCGTTGGGGAGGGGCCCAGTGTTCCCTGATCGTCTGCGAGCTGTCTTTTGTCGGTCTCCTGGGCTTTCTGTGGGCCTCCTTCCTCGGTTCGGATTCCTTCGGGTCTCCTCGAATTCGAACCTGGTCCGAGTCCAGACGCTTCGCGAATCCGCGTAACCGCCATTTTGGACGCTCCGACACCTCGCGAGACCCCCGTCCAGGTCAGGGAGACGGGGGTAGGGAGGAGGGGCAAACCCATCCCCGAAGCGGAAGAAGGAGGGGTGGAAGAGGAAACTCCCCAAACCACCATCCCTTGGCATCACTCGGACGTGTGCATGTTTTTCTCCGCGACGGCCATCGAGGGCCATCCTTGATCATTTGGCGAAAAAAAACACGCACGACATCGAAACATACACGAGGAATGGACGTCCGAGCGATGGCGAGATCCCCGGAGGGCTGGTGGGATTTGAGCCAGGACTTTGGCCGGGATCGGCCCCCTCACTGCACACGACACCCTCCTTGGATCAGGGCCTCCACGGGCGCAGGCCACGACGGAAAGTATACGACCTCAGATTAGCACGATTCCCCTCGTCCTTACAGTGCCGTTTTTTATACATGCTTCGCGCGCGGATCATGTCTTAAACATGCAGCGATTTAGTATTAAAAACAACGATGAGTTCATGCCTCAACTTTTTCATGTACTTATCATGAACTAAGAATCCTATATTTAGAAAAATCCTATGTATCAAACACTGCCCTGTACCAGGCGGCCCGGATTAGTATAGGTCGACTCTGCCAGCTCAAGGGTGCCTTGGTGTCCTGTGCCTCGCGGCACGTGCCCTCTTACAGTCCTATGGTTAAGTCGGGCCTGTCCCTCTACAGGGAGAATATTCAAAAGTAGTCCATGAAATAGTCTGGGGACTATGTTTGGAGCATGTGTTGGTCATTTTGGGCATTGTGTTTGAGTATGTTTTATCTTTCGCGTGTCCTGCCCAATCGAGTCCGACTGTACAGTGCCGTTTTTAGTGCATGCTCCGCGTGCGGATCATGTATTCAAAATGCAGGGAGTCAGTATCAAAAACAACGATGAGTGCATGCATAAATTCATTCCTAGATTACTCATACATCCCATGTATTAAAAACTGCCCTGTAGGGGAGCGCCTCGGCAGCGCCCCCGGTGCCCCAGGCGTGGGCGCGTCGTGCCTCCCTGGCCGCGCCCCAGGGAGGGCGCGCGCCACAATCCCGGGCCCAGCACGGGCCCGGCGGCCGGGATCGGTGCGCCGCTCTGTCAGGAGGGAAAGAAACACACAGACACAAGTTATCGTCGACTCCCAGGAAAATATGGGAAAATATTGGATTAGGCCCAGTGGGTTGGGATTCGGCCCACATGCGGGGTAAACCCCCTCCCCGAAGGGGAAGAAGGAGGGGTGGAAGAGGAAACTCCCTAAACCACCTATCCCCGGAGGGCTGGTGGGATTTGAGCCAGGATTGCGTCCGGGATCGGCCCCCTTCAGGGGGGGGAGCAAAAACACAGACACAATTAATCGCCGACCCCCAGAATATATGGGAAAACATGGGATGTGGGGGGGAAGACCCCGAAAATATAGGAAAATATGGCGGTTCCTGTTATTTGTGTCTATTTATTTGTGTGTCCCAGGGCCCCTTCACTCTGGCACGCCCGCTTCGGAAGGGCAGCAC